AGAAAGGAGGGGTTCCAGAGAGACGTGGTGTTTGTTTATTCTCAGCCTCTTACAAGTCAGCATCCCCTTTGCCCCTTGGCAGCTGTTCAGAAGGATGTTGGCTGTCCTGTCCTCTCTGCCAAGGAGAGTGGCTCTGAGAACACCCCACGGGCCAGGCATCTTCCACAGAAACTTCTTTCTTTTGGGCGTGAGGGTTACACTGAACCCAGAGGTGCTCTACACCCCCAGCCCTTTTTATTATTTTGAGACAGGGACTTGCTAAGTTGCCAGATTTGCAATCCTCCTGCCTCAGCCTCCCGAGCCCTGGGATTACCAGCACAACTGCAGCACCTCTCTCTGGACAGCTTTGACTGACAGCGTGTTGAACGCTGTGAGAATGGATGTTGATAGGAAACTGACCACACACGCAAGTGTCCAGCCTGCCGTGGTGCAAGCTGATGTCAGCGTGACCCGCCAGCCTCTCCTCGGCTCCTCCCCATGCCCGTAACTGATGCACTTCTGCTGGGGGGTCAGAGGCCGCCCGGGCCTATAGGCAGGGCAGGTCAGGCTTGTGTAAATGTGGCCTTCACCCTCACCTCCCCAGGAAGGGAAAGGAGATGCCCTCTCCACGCTGGCTGCTCGCTGGCTCTCGGGCTCAGGATCTGTGCCTGTTTTTGACTCAGTTCCCGAGATCATGACCGGCCTGCTGCGCTGTCTTCCTCCCTCCCAGGGAGCTGGGGGGACAGCTGCGCCTCAAGGTGAATCAATAGGCGAGCCTGCTTGTAGGACGCAGAGGGGCCGTGAGAAGTCCGCGTGTACACCCCTCCAGGCAGAGTCGGGCTGGGAGCCTGGGAAGCTGAGTCCCTGTCACCGTCCTGCAAAGAGCTCCTCCTCTCCTAACCGAGAGCCAGAGTGGACTGTGGCAGCCACGCCCTGGAAGGTCCTTGCAGTCCCTTCTGATGGCCTGGCTCTCCTCTGTTAGGCCCACCAGGTGGCTTCCCACGGTGGACACTTCCCAACATAGGGTGTCATCCTCGTGCCCCAGCCCCTGTGGCCAGGGCCAGTTCCCTCTTTTGTTGTAATGGTCTTCTGTATCGTCCACCTGTCAGTGTCCTGTGCTACCCTCAGGTGACCAGAATAGTGCTGACACTCGGTGGACACTGAGTGTGTCTTTGATGGTGAGGGAGGGAGGCGCCGTCCTGCCTGAGCCTGGGGCTGCACAACCCACACAACTGTTTCTTCATGGGCTGCTGCTCCTCAGATGCCAGGGTCTCCTGGCCCCTCATCACTGCCCGACAGTCCTCATGCAACATGGTGTCAGTCCTCACTGCCTTCTCCCTCAGAGTCCTCCCTGGAGTGTGATTTCTGCTGTGGAATGCTCTGTAGCTGGCCTGTGAGAGGGCAGACAACCAGTGGGACTGGCCCTAACCCTGGGGCACAGCAAGCCCACTGGGGAAAATCCCCTGCTCGTTTGCTGGGGAAGTCCTGCACGTCCAGGTATCCTTCACTGCTCTCTCACCTCCACATCGTTCCATGGCCCCCACACAGTCCCAGAGGTGGGTGTAAGCTGGTGTGTCTTGGATGGCCAAGCCCTGGATGCTGGGCACTCAGAGCCGTGCTCCCCACTGTATCCTGACGGCCTGTCGCTCACGGCTGTCAATCTCGTTCACTTTGATTTATGAGCAGACCTAATGAGTTTGGGGAGCGGCTATCTCCGGGGACTGGCCATCTATCTGGGAGGGAGCTGTTGAACTCTGCTCCTCCAGCAGCTGCAGGGGGTGGGGGACTAAGGGGTGTGGTCCCAGGGCAGCAGTTGGGCCTGTGCCCCTGGTCTCTGAGCCCCCGGCCCTCCACTTCCTTCCCTTCCCTCCCCTCTTCTGTGTGTTGGGGTCACACAGGTTTCTTGTACACTTGCCTGTCTGGAAGCCAGGCCAGAAAGTGTCCCTTCTCTCCCACTCCCAGGAGACAGCCAGCACTGCCATGTGTCCCATGGTGGTGGGAGCCGGGGGCCTGCCTGTCCTGTCCTGGGGTTGGCGGGGGCTCACCCTCAGGCCTCGATGGCCACTTCCTCAGGAAGGCAGGTCCAAACCTGTCCTTGTCCTGGTGCGGCAGTGTGTGCCCTTCCTGTGGCTCGCTGGGCTGATAGGTAGGTGGGCCTCCTTGCCCTGCTCCAGGGCCCAGGTGCTGCCCAGCACGGGGCAGAGGGAGCCGCCTCTTCCTGGAGCTGGCGCCGGGTCTGCCCTCCCAGCACCAGCAGCACTTCCGCACGGCCTGGCAGAGCAAGGGGACTTTGGACAGAAAGAACTGTGCTGGGCATGACTAAGAGGAGAGGAGGATGGCCCACTGTCCCCCAGGTGCTCGTCAGGGAGCCGCCACTCCATGAGCAGACTCTTCCTAACACTCCAGCTCACGAGACCTCAGGCGGCTCCTCACTCCTGGACAGCAGACAGCAGCAGGCCCTCGATGGTAGATCTGGGCTTTGGATGAAGAAGATCAGGAGAACCGGGAGGGTGGCTGGTCTAGGCAGGCGCCTTATCAGAAGACCGCGAGACATGTCTTCTTGCCACCTAGAGCCACAGCTTCGGAGATGTCCTAGAAGTTCTAGAGAAGTCCTACATCATGGGCCGGGGCCTGTGGCTCAGCGGTAGAGCGCTTGCCTCCCACATGTGGCCCTGAGTTCGGTGCTCAGCACCACATAAAAATAAGAAAACGAAGTAAAGGTTTTGTCCATCTACAACTAAAAAATTAAAAGTCCTCCATCATCACTGACCTAAAGGTACAACCCCCCCTTCCCAGATGTCTGCTCTGGGGACCGCTGTTGGCGGGCGCGCCTCGGCGGGGGTGGCGGGGTGCACAGGTGCGAGCGAGCTCAGGCCAGTCCTGCCCTTTTGGAAACCTCAATAACTTGGTTTGTTCAAGAGAGGGAAAGCCCCCCGCTGGGCTCTCTAGTCAGCATCCCGAATAAGCAAGCCACTTTCCGCCTGCGTTTCCTACAGCTTCGTGGAGACCTGGTGCTGGGTAAGAAGGTGCGCAGAGAAGCCCCAGCTGGCATCCCGCCAGAGAGCACTAATGGGGCTCACACTGGGCAGCTACATCTCTGCCTTCCTGCCTGCTGCCAGGACCTGGGGGCCAAGGCCCAGGTCAAGGAACAGACGGGATTTCTTTTGACTTCTTTCCAAATTCATGTCAGGGCCAGGGCCTGGAGCAGGTCCCCGTCACAGGTGGCACACTGAATGGCAGTGACAGGGCAGGATTGAGATCTCGCCGCCCCTTGGCCCCGCTCAACACCCTGCCCACAGCGGCACAGCTGTCAGCTGCAGCCTCCTGAACCACCAGCCCCGCCACCACGCAGCCTTGGCCCCAGCTGTACCCCACCCTGCTCTGCAGCTGGTGACCTTCCTGAGGCACAGGGCTGGCCCTGCTGGCTTTCTGAAGGCCCCCCATTCCTGCCCCAGCGTACCTGGGAGCAGGTCTTCCTCGCAGACCTCTGCCATTCACACCCCTCCTGCGCCCACCCCAGGAGTTTCTGGGATGAGCCAGACTGCCTGGGCCAAGACTTGAGGGAAGAACTAGGTCACTGCTTCCCCTTGACTGGCCAGGGCCGGGAAGATTTGTGACACCCTGGAGCGGCAGGCGTGGTGGGAAGGATCGGGCTGTGAGAGGCGGAAACAAATCATCTTCTTTATTGGCAATCTTCTCAGGCCTATTCCTGCACTCCCCTTCCCTCTGCCACCCCTCTTGGCCCCAACAGTGTCAGGCAGTTCTGATTAAAGTAATAGATGACCCCACCCCACTCCCCAGTGCATTGTGTGGGAAGACACTGGCCTGGCCTCCTCTGGGTCCCAGCAGAACAGCCTGTCCCCGGGAGGAGCCTGAGCCTCTGATGGGACTGGCTGTCAGGAGTGGCCAATCGCCACACTGGCCTCTTCTCTCTCAGTCTCGCTTCACATTCACCTATGTCCCCATGGTTATCTGAGGGACCTGGGTGAGGCTAGAGGGGCTGTCAGGTCTGCTCTGAACAGGGACAGCAGGGGTTATAAACTTCAGACTGGAGACGGGGACACTGGTCGTCTCCGTGTTGTTAAGTAGCTAACAGGGCCAGTTCTAAATGATCCATAGAGCAGGTACAGAAGCCAGAGGGTTGCAGAAAGATCTAGAAGTCTCATCTTTTCAGAGTGCCAGGAACACTCTCTGTTGATGGCTCAGTTCTTCCTGAACTCTGCTGTGTGCAGGTGGCTCTGCTGTGCCACCTCCAAGGCATTCAGGTGGCAGAGGACAGGCTGGTGAGCTGGTCTGCAGTGCCTCTGTATGAGGCAGCCCGGTCTTGGGCAGTGATAGAGGCCTGATTGCTCTAGTCAGGCAGGGTCACAGGTCTTCCTACTTCTGCAGCAAATCTTCTGTCCACTAGCTGGGCCACCAGGCCAGGAGGACAGAACCACAAGTCATTTGCCGCCAGCCTCGGTGCCAGCAGCTCAGGACTCAGTAGTCCCAGAGTTGCCCCCTGGTGCCATTTCTTCCCTAGTGTGACAGCTGGCCACTTCCCGCCTGCCGTAGGTGCTGGCTCCACGTCTGCACCCGGCATTCCTGCCTTTTTGCCCCAAGCCTGGGAGGACACTTCCTTCCAAATGCTCTGTCCCTTCTGCCCTGCACTTGCCGTCGGCTCCCTAGGCGCACCCTTTAAACCAGAGAGGGCAAAGGAACAGGTGTGCTGCCAGCCTGCTACCTGCCAGGAAGGGGACAGGGCCACCCTGCTGATACCCTAGCATAGCACTGCTCTGAATCATAACCAGACACCCCCACACTGGGCAGAGGGGACAGGGTGTAGAGAGGGGCAGGTGGGGCATTCATAAGCTCTAGTAGCCATGTTGACCTGCTCCACAATGTGGCTTTGGGTCGCATGAATCTGAATTTAAAGGTTCTTTCTTGTGGGTTCTTTCTAGCCCCCCCACAGGTCCCCAGGCTACAGAGTCCCAGGTAGGGGACTGTCCCATGCCGTGGCTCACTCCCATCTTGTCTTCCAGCTTTCGCCATCATGATTGTGCTGGCCTTGGTCCGCATCGGAAAGGGCCAAGGAGAGGGGCACCCGCCCCTGGCCGACCCCTCAGGGCTCCGGAACCTGTTGGGGGTGTGCGTCTACTCCTTCATGTGCCAGCACTCCCTGCCGTCCCTCGTCACCCCCGTCTCCTCCAAGCGCTACCTCACACGACTGGTGTTCCTGGACTACGTGCTGATCCTGGCCTTCTATGGCCTCCTCTCCTTCACCGCCATCTTCTGCTTCCGTGGCGACAGCCTCATGGACATGTACACCCTCAACTTTGCGCGCTGCGACGTCGTGGGTCTGGCGGCCGTGCGCCTCTTCCTGGGCCTCTTCCCCGTCTTCACCATCAGCACCAACTTCCCCATCATCGCCGTGACTCTGCGCAACAACTGGAAGACGCTCTTCCACCGCGAGGGCGGCACGTACCCCTGGGTGGTAGACCGCGTGGTCTTCCCCACCATCACCCTGGTGCCACCCGTGCTGGTGGCCTTCTGCACACATGACCTGGAGTCCCTGGTGGGCATCACGGGGGCCTATGCAGGCACTGGCATCCAGTTCGTCATCCCTGCCTTCCTGGTGTACCACTGCCGCAAGGACACCCAGGTGACTTTCGGCTACGGGACCGTCAACAAGCACAGGTCCCCGTTCCACCACACCTTCTGGGTGGGCTTCGTGTTGCTCTGGGCTTTCTCCTGCTTCTTCTTCGTCACAGCCAACATTGTTCTCAGTGAGACCAAGCTCTGATGGCAGGGTGTGCCTGGTGACAAGACGGCCAGGGACCCCACCACGGCCTTGCCGCTGCAGAGCAAGATTTTTGTTGCCACCCAGGGCTTCATGGGCAGGAAGACAGGGGCGCTCAGAGGGGACCTCTGCATCTCCAACTGGGGGTCTCCTCCCTACCCAGGGCCCTATCTAGTCTGTGCTGGCCTGGTCCCCTGGAGGGCCTGGTCCCCTGGAGCAGCTCCCTGCCGTGCCCTCCTGCCTAGGGCAGCACGCAGCTGGTCCCAGTCACACTGCTGCCCCCTCCAGCTGTTGGAGGCAGGCTCCTCCCTCCATGTAGTAGCACATGCAGTGCTGGCACTGCTGCTATTTATACCAGACTCCGTGTCCCCTCCTCTGCCCTCCCCAGCCCCTTCCTGTGTCCTTGCCTGTCTACCAGCAGCTGCTGTCCCTTCAGAGACAAGTCCTAGGCCCTGGTCCTCTAACCTGGCCTGCCTATGGCAGGCAGCACCCAACTCTCTGCCAGGCCTGAGAGTCGCTAAGTGCCGCTCCTAGTGACAAGAATGGGAAGTGCTAACTGGCACCAGGGTCCCTGAGAACAGAGCTGTGAGGGCCCTTGCTGTGGCCACCATCTCTGGGGCACTGCGCCAATGGCACATCCCTTCCCAGGGCACGCGGCAGCCTAGAAGCTGGGTTTAAAGTCTTTCGCTTGTGCTTCCTGGTAGGGGCTCTTTGGCCCCTGACTACCCCCTGGAGCCCTCTGGGCCTCCTGCAGTATAGGGGGCTGCTGGAGGGTGCTGCCCACCACCACCCCCAAGGGCTTACCGCCCTGGGCATGAGGCGCGGAGAGGACTTCGTGGTTCCCACAGCGGACGGCCAGGCCAGCAGGCAGCAGCTGCCTTGCTCCAGTCCACACAAGGGTGCTCCCTCCAGAGTCTGGCCACGGGTGTTCAGCGTGGCGCTCCTCCTGCCCCTGAGTTCCGTGGGGTAGGAAGAGATACCTGCCCGTTCTTGTGGAAGGAGGCCAGGCTCCCAGCCACCTCCACCTAATCATGCCTGCACCTGCTGGGCAGGCCACCTTGGAAACAGATGACTCTGTTGAACTCTGCATTTTCAATGTGCCTTCTGCTTCAGGCCCTGGGGATCCTTCCTGACCCTGGCTTGTCCCCAGCCCTGGGCCTGGTCCCATTGTCCTAGAGCGCAGAGCAGCCTGCCAGGGAGCTGCCTCTCTGGGGAATGGGGAACTCAGGCCCCTACCCCGCCCTCTTGATCTCAGTGCCTTGCTTAGCCCTTGTGAAGGAACCTTCACCACCTCCTCCTCTGTGTGTGTGTCGCTCTCTGACGTTTGACGGTACACTCTGGGGCCCAGGGAATGTGGGTCTGCAGGCAGCACCGCTCTGCTTCTGGCCCTGGCACCCCTGCCCCTGAGAACCCCTGAGTCATAAATTGGCCTCACTCACTCTGCTTTCTCGCTAATGTCACATGTGGGCAGTTCTTGCACCTGCCCCCATAAGCCATCATCTTCCATCCATGTGAAAAACATCTGCTCCTCCCCACCTGCTATGGTGGTATCTTCCCAGGAGACCCTGCCCTGGGGGGCCAAGCCAGCTGGCGCCAGGGTGGTAAGGCCACGTATAAGGAAGAGCTGCCCATGCCCTGTGCTAGGCCCTCCCTGAAGCTGCCTGCTGTTTGCTGAGAACTCAATTAAAACATCTGTACTTACCTTCTCCAATTACACTCCCTCTTGCTTAAGGACAAAGCAAATTAAATCATCCTGCTGCCCCCGGGCTCCAAACCAAATTTTGGAAGCAAATTTATTAGCATCATAAAGCCCAGGTTGATTTATGTGACAATCTGGAGCCACACACAGCAGTGGAGTCTGGTGGCTGCATTCCCCTCCTCCTCTGAGCCCCAGCTGCCCCAGCCCTGGAGGGAATTGACCTGAAGTGACTGGGAGTCACAGATGCCGCGCAGGGACCCTCCCCACTAACTGGTTGCTCTGCACCTTCATCTCCACCTGCCACTTGCCTTGGGAGAAGTCAGATGAGGTCACCTTTCTCTCCACTTATGGCTGGGTGGATTCAGGACAAGGGATGAAAGACCCTAGCAGCTAGACATCCCGAAGTGATGCTGCTCACCACGTGCATCAAGCACAATTGTGAGTTTTTATATCAATGTTTGAAGCAAGTTGGGTCATAGTTTCCGTTTGCAGAGGGGCTCTAGGGGTCATTGGTGAGGAGAACAGGGATGCCAGCTGGATGTCAGCCTGGCACAAGATACAAGTGTCGTTGTGGCAGTTTTAAACACAGCAGCCTCTACCTGTCTCATCCACCCAGAGCAGCCCCAAGGGCAAGTCAGGTCAAGGTGGGAGAAGACAATCTTTGCTTGTTCCCTGCCAAGGCGCCAGGCCCACCTGAGCACTGGCGCCTGCTGCCAGCCCTCTGGCTGTTCCTCACCTGAGGCCAGAGAGGCGGCTGTGGGCTTGTAGATGGGGCAGATGGCAGGTGACAGGCTGAGGCACTGCTGAGTTGTGGAAGGTAGCAGTGGGCCCCAGTCCAGGCCCCAGGCCACACATCTGTGCTCACCACATGGGGCCAGGAGCAGCCCTGGCAACAGGCTGACACCAGAGTGGTGAGGAGCCACCAGGCAGCCAGCAGAGGGGAAGTGGCAGCTGTGCCAGGCCCTGGGGAGTAGAAAGCTGAGATTTCAGCCCGCTCAGGGGTCAGAGGCCCTAGCAAGGCTGACTCATGCCAAGGGCCACTGAAAATCTGGCCCTTAGACCAAGATCCAGAGCTACAGGAGAACCCTGCCACCCCTCTTCCCTGGGGGCTGGGGCTGGCAGTGTCAACCTCATACTGGAGAAAGGGAGAAGTGACCTGTATAGAGGGCCTGCCATGTGTCTGTCACAGTGCTAAGTACTTCTTCGAGCCTCCTCTGCGAAGTGGGGTAACTACCTATATGACTGATGGGTCATGGAAAATTAAGGACTGAGCCCAGAACCTGCCACAGAAGTGCTCAATAAAGCTGCTGTTTACTGATGCCCAGTTACCTCCCTTGTCACTCACCAGCCGTAACTGCACTCACAGCCCAAGACCTGGGACTCAAATTTAAGACTTCAGGTATCTAATTGGTTTCATAGCCTTCTAAAGAGATGGTGGCGTGTGATGGCCGTTGCCTGCAGTACACAGTCAGGAAACGATTCTTCAGGGTCTGGAGGACTTGAGGGGAGGAAAGGATTGGCTCTGGTTCCCCAGTCCTCTGGGAGACCTGCACACCTCCCCTTTCCAAGAGCCAGGCAGGCAAGGCTGGAGGGGCCTGGTCTGGGATATCATGCCCACCCTTTTGTGAACTTTGTCCCCCACCCTGGGGGTAGATGTGAGCACTGGGCTAAAGACAAGGGAAATACAGCCAGGACAACTGCAGGAGGAAAGCAGGTCAGACAGAATTCCCTGTGACTGTGGCTGGGCCTCTCTCTTCCTGGGTCCCACCAAACAGAAAAGCAGCTTTGGTGTGTGGCTCATGGGGCCCTGGTTTAGGATGCTTTCCCATCCAAGGCCTTGCTTCCTCCCTTTCCCACCCCCAGCCTTTCTGCCTCCACTTGGAGAGGAAGGACACCAGCCCTGAACCACATCCCCTTCCCAGGGACTGTGTCCCCCACTCATGTTCCTAGATGGCAGCCAGTGCTGGCCTGGCGAGCAGGAGCGGCCCCTCCTCCCAGCCAACAGCAGGCTCGGCTCCACAGTTGGCTCTTAATTATCTTTCCAGTCCTTGATTATTAATGATCTTGGGCAATGAGCAGAGCAGCCCGGCCTCGCCCTGTCCCTGGCCCCACTGCCACAGTCTCCCCCAGGGCTGCACCAAATCCTGACTCAGGGAGAATGTAGGGTCCCACTCAGGGATTGGTAGCCTACTGTTAACCCTCTCACTACCGTGGCTGTGGCCAAGGTCAAGCTCCTTCCAGAGCACTCACCTAGACTCGCACCCCCTACCTGTCTGATTCTGGCTCCAGCCCAAGACCATCCATAGGGCAGAGAAGGTGAACTTGGCCGTAATGTAGGAGGGCCACCTATTCTTGGGGTGGTCAGACTCTAGCCACAAATGGAGATGTATCCCACCCTACTATATCTCAACTGCTCCCACCTCTAAAACCAAACCAAAAGGTCAATTCTCATGGCCTCTACCCAGGCCTCTCTTTGGAGACTGAAGAGGGAACCCTGCTTCCTTGGCACCAGCTGGGACATCACGCCAAACCTTTTGAGAACTTTGTCCCCCACCCTACCTGGCTCCCCAGGAAGGGCACTGGGCGGAGAGAAAGGGAGCCAGGCAAGGCTGTGCCTCTTTTCATGTGGACAAATCTGCTTGGCCTCCACCCAACCTGTTAAGGACAATCAGGAAAGGGTTTGACAGAATTGATAGTGCCTACCATGTTTGTGGAACAAATGGAAGGAGGATTCCTTGCTCGCTTCAGTCATTGAGGGGGATAAATGTAGTTGCAGATGTGAAAACACCAAAGACTATAACAAGAGCCATCTTTTCACATGGCCCAGGGCAAATGGTGTGACAGAGAAAGGAGGTCAGCTGAGAACCCCAGGGGGAGGATGAGCGGATGGAACAGTGGGCAAATTCTCCCACCTGAGAAGTCCTGGCACCTGGAAGACTGAGCCTCACCTGGCCCTGGATGCCAGCCAGGCCAGGCTTCAGAGCCCACAGAGCCCATGCAGCCAGCCAAGGGCCAGGCAAGCCTGGCAGGCTCCCAACAGACCTTCCGCTGTCTTCCCACCCTGACACTGTCAGGCTCCCAGGTGGTCCCTGTCTTGGCGAGACACCTGCAGTCCCTGGTCTGGGCCTCCCTTCTCAAGGAGACTGAAGACTGAATTCCATTCATCACCACCAGCGCCCCCCATGCTGATCACATCTGGCACCAGGGTAGATTGAGTTGGCACTGAATACCAAGTGGCTTCTGTGACCTGGAGCCCATCCCTCAGCCTCACCTTCTCCCCACATCCTCCCCAGACACCCCTAAGACTCCCCCAGGGTAAGCCACCCACTTGCTCCCAGAAGATGCCCTGTCAAGACTGAATATCTGGATATTCCCATGGTGCTCCTGTTGCCGACAGGTTGTGATGCCCCTTTCAGGATGCAGAATGAGCAGCCAGGCGCAGTGAGTTGTAAGAGGTTGGTTTAATGTCTCCGTACTTAGAAACTCCAGTCAGGTGGAGCAAGGAGCAGGATGGTCCTGCCCCACCCCCAGGTCTAGCCTCCGTGCTCTCACGCCAAGGCCACAGCAGCCACGACCAGGGCCAGACTAACACCAGGGCAGAGACACCCTCAATGGCCCTGCTCCCTGTGACACATGCTGGATGGATGGGGCTTTGCGTGATGAGGACACAGCCAAAGCCTGTCGAGGTCACTGAGCTGGCCATGGAAGAATCATCTGCCACTGGGACCCCTGGCCAGCATATGGTTGCAGAAGCCAGGAAAGCCCAAGGCTGCCTGTCCCTATCCCTGACAGTGCCAGGCAGAGAATCCAGCCCAACAGGAACCAGAACTACCGCACCTCACACCTCTGACTCCAGGCTTGAGATCCGCCTCCAGGTGCAGGGTCTTCGGGAGCCTTTGGTCCCACAGGCTCCCCTGCTGACCTCTTCCAGCACCCCACTGTCCCTGTAACCCGTGCTCAGTCCCAAGGTCCTGCCCCTGTGCACTGGAGGCCCCCAGGACCCAGGAAGCCAAGGGCCATGACTGGCGCAGGGTGGAAAATGAGGGCAGACAGCCCCCCAGCAAAATGGCAGGTGGGCATGGGCGTGCAGGCAGACGTGCTGTCTGGGCTGCCAGGCGAGGACCCCTGCTGGCACGCCCTGCCTGCAGGCCTCCGGGTAGGAGGGCAGCCGCATCGACTGTGCCTGCGCCAAGTGCCTGCAGGCCGGCCAGCTGTTGGGGCAGGAGCAAGTGTGGCCGGCGTACCTGGCAGGCAGCAAGCCAGGCCGAGTGAAGGCCTCGGCCACCGAGCTGGGCAGAGAAGCGTGGCGCGGGCGTGGGTTCCGGGCCCAGGCCGCACGCAGCAGGGCTTCCCGCTGGGCCAGATGCTCTGGCCCCAGCAGCGGCAGGTCGTCCGGCTCCGGGGGCTCCGGGAAGAGAGGGAGGAAGGGGCGTCCGGACCTGTCGGCTCTGGGGAAGGAGCTGTAGTGACAGTGCGCAGGGGACAGGGGGCGCTCTGAGAGCGCGCACCGCTCGGAAGCCGAGAGGTGCCGCCCGTGGGGCCCGGCGCAGAGCCGCCACCGCGCCTCCCAGGCAGGCGGGTTCGAGGCCCGGGAGACGTCGAGCAGAGGAGGCCGGGGCGTCGGCGGCCGGCCGGAGGGCTGCGGGGCCCTGCGGACCAGCGCGGCACGGCCCCCGCCCGGCGGCCCCCAGCCCCTGGGGTTGGGCTCGGGGGGCGGGCCGGGGGTCTGCGGTCGCGGGCCGGGCCCGGGGCAGGCCGGCGGGGGCGCGTGGCGGCTGCTGCCCCAGCTCTCGATGGTGCGCGTGGCGCGGTCCAGGGAGCTGCTCACGCCCGCCGTGGTCACCATGTCGCGCGCCGCCTGCAGCATCTTGAGCACACTGGCCTGGGCCGAGCCGGCCGTGAGGTCTGGGCTGGGCGGCCGTGCGGGGCTGGCCAGGCTCTGCACCCCACTGAAGCAGCTGTAGATGCCCTGGATAGGAGGAAAGGCAGGCTGTGAACGGCGTCCTCCCCTCCGTGAAGAGCCTCCACTGTCCTTGCCCTGCTCCAAGCATGATGGCCTTCAAATCCCCGGAAGCAACCGTTTGTTAGGCGTCCCCTATGTGCCAGGCTCTGTGCTGCTTTTCAGATGAATTTGACTTCTGAACCTCCAGAAGCCAATTCTAATCAATCACACTATCTCGTAAATGGCGCTGGAGGGTTCCAACCCCAGTGGTGCTGGCAAGCCAGCCACCTCCCAGGACCTTGGTTTGCACATCTGTAAATGGGGCCATGGCCAGCTCTGACTTAACTGGTTAGTTAGTACCCCAGGCACCTACCCTGCTGAAAGCCAGCAGGAAGTCCAGCTGGGATGTGTTGGGCACTGAGTGACGCAGCTTCCAGTAGACCAGGTGCTCCCAGGCGAAGACCAGGAGGGCCAGCCCCATGGCCACCAGCAGCATGTAGAAGACCCCAGCCATATTGTCAATGTCCAGCTTGCTGCTCATCACTTCATTCTTCTCATTGTGGCAGATCCCCGAGAGCCATACTGTCTCCAGTTTCTGGGTCTCTCCTAGGGAAGAGGGTGTACCTGACTCAGGAGCCAATCATAATGGACCCACTAACAACACTCAACCCGTGCCTGGATGGAGGAGGGGTCTGGGGACAGGGTACCACCCCTTATTTCTCAAGTGGGACCACTCAAGTGAGATGGGGGCAGTGTCAGCCAAAACAAAGGAAAGCAAAGCAGAAGCTGTGGGCCACCTGCTCACCCCCAGCAAAGACCACCCACGTGCCCAGGAAAGGCTTGTTAATTGGGTCAAGTTTAGCACCCCTTCATTTGTTGTTCACTCGTCATTGTACACTTTACCCTCTGCACACTGAGCATGGAGCTGGGCCCCTTGGAGACCACAAGCACCACATAATAACGAGAGCATTACTTAATCAGGATGGGGCTCCTCTCAATACTCCCTGGGGTTAGGGCGGGCACATGTGAACCCCTGTTCCCAGAGCCAGCCTAGCCCTGGTTCTGGACTACCCCCGGTAATCTCAAGATGGAAATGGGGAGGCCAAACTGCAAAGGAGGTGCTCATCTGGGAAAAATCATGGGAGGGGTCCTGGAGAAAGAGAAAGTTCAGCCACCCGCAACCCCCTGTGTGGCCCAACGCCTTCCTTATCATCCCTGCCCTTTGGGGGACTCCCCAGTTCTGGTTCTTGCTCCTTCCTACAAGCCCATCCCTTCTCCAGGTCTTCATGCAGCGCTCCTAATACCTGCTCCCCTACTGCCCCAACCTCACCCCCAGAGCCTCTTCCTTCCCATAGGCTGTGGGCACACAAAGTGGTA